TAAAACCTGCTCGTGCTTCCAGGGCCACTTCAAACGCCACCTCCGCCGTGATTTCGCCAATCTCTCCACCTCCGATTCATCACCGCATTCTATCTGACTCCTTCCTATGACAGCTATCACTTTATTACTTGAATTGTTAGCTATTTATCTCCATGTTTTATCTCCTCTTTCTCTCCTTTCATTTCACAAATATTTATTGTTCCTCTCTAAATGCCAAGTCGGTTCTGGAGTTACTAAGATGAAGAAGATTAGAGCGCACGCAGCCTGTGGGGGAGCTTATAGGCGGGTGGGAGAGGGGGCTGCATCTTCTACCCCTCGGGGTACCGTGCCCACCCGCTGCCCTCACCCCCCTGCTGTGCCACAAATGCTCAGTATGTGCCGTTGAGTGAATACGTGAACGGCTGCATCTCAAAGTAATAAAAGAAGTTGCGTTTCTTTCCATGTCTCCGATCCTCAAGGCTGTTTTTTTTTCATTTACTTGATTTCTCCCACACCTCCCTCCCCTCCCTGATCAGTATGAATTAGGAAAGTGTAACTGAGCTCTCGAGTTCTCCAAGAAACCCCTAGGCTCCACCCGACCCAACGGTTTCCAAGCTCTGGCAGCTTTGGGGGATGGCGCATGCGCACAAGTTCCCACGCTTGGCAACCAGACCCTGTGAGGGCTGGTTCCCCACCCCCACCTTCCGGCCCAGGTGGTCTTCCAGCCCCCCACACTCCAACTTCACTCAGATTTGGAAATGAAGTCCTGAGGCCTATGGAGAAACCTCTGCCCACTTCCCCAGACTCCCTCACGGAGGGCTTTGTCACCTTCTTTGTCACCTCCAACCCACCCTCCACTCAGCAACCCAGGCGAACTTTACAACTCAGGTCACGGTGGCTTCCAGGGCACTGAGAATGGATGCCAACTCACTTCCTGACCATACTGGCCCTCTGGCAGCCCCTAGATCAGGCCTGTCTCACCTCAGGACCTTTGCACTTGCTGTACCTCCTGCCCGGAGTGCCCTTCCTGCCCCCAGCCCTGGCCGGCTGGCTTCCTCCAGTCCTGAAGACCTCTGCGTACACGCCTCTCCTACAAGGAACCTTGCGGCCCTCCCTCTGCCTTATTCCTCATTCTCTATTACATGACCTTATTTCCTTCACCACACTCATCACCAGGTATAAATAGTTTTCTTATTATTCTAAACATATTTTTATAGTCTGTCCCCACTCACCCGCTACATCGTAAACCTCACAAGAGCAGGTCTGGTTATGTCTTGTTCGCTATTTTATTTCCAGCACTGTCCCTGACATATTGCAATTGCTCAATTCCCGGTGATGAATGAATGATGCAAATGTGGGGGGAGGGCCCCAGATGCCTGACTCGCTCCTTTGTAATGCATCCGACACCGCAGCTTCCACCACTAACTCATGTACGGACAAACACAAATCACAACATGTTTGTGTGTGGGGGGTATGGGGAGTGGTGCTAGGCTGGGGACAGGGGAGACGGTGATGAAGACATCAGAACCAGTCCTTGTCCTCACGGGACTTCCGGTCTGGTTGAGGAGGCAGACCATGAGCACCTAGTGTCAGGGCAGCGAGTGTGTGGAGGGCAAGTACAATGGGGTATCTGACCCAGTGTGGGCAGTCAGAACTGGCTTCCTGGAGGAGGTGCCATTTCAGCTGACCCTGGATGGATGAGTCAGGGCCTTGGCCAGGAGAGGTGGGTAAAGTGTGGGAGGGGCAGGAGCACACTTAGCCCCTCAAGTCTAGGTTTTCCTTATGGCCAAATTAGAGCCAGTGAAACGTGCCCAGTGCTCCCCCTGACACCCCGAGCCGATGAAAATGGACAAGGGACAGCAGAAAGCTTTGGGAAATGGGAGGCACAGCCTGAGGGGGGGTGCGGGGTGTCAGGGGTGGTTGGAAGCTCATGGGGATTCACCATGACCTCCAGGAAGGTCTTAGTTGCCATCTGGGGACAGCCACATTCTGCAGGAACCAGTGAATTTTGCCCACAGGACCATCCTCTCCAAGGTGTAACAGGGGAATGGAGGTTGCGGGCTGGGGCAGGGCGTGAGAGGGCAGGTAAGGAGGGAAGCCGGTGTGCTGGTGGGACCGTCCTCCACATCCTACCACCCCACACAAGAGGCCCCTGCGAAGCAGATCCTGAGACGAGGATTCTGCGTGAGCGGTTCACTGGGGAGGGCAGCCCAGGCAGCTGGAGGGGAATGGAGAATGAGTGGGAGGGACGGAAGCCATGCAGGTGCCTCACACAGGGTATTCCTTGCGGAACGTGTAGTGACGTGTTTACGTATGTCTTGCTTTCCTAGATCGCTGCGTGTGTCCCTAGGAAAGTAGAGAACCACGCCTTTCTTGTACCTCTGGGTGTGGCACCTGGCGTCACACCCGGCTCCCCTCGGGAGGTGCTCGATCAAACATTAAACACCCTTTGAAGGAGTAAATGGCTGCCGACGTCCAGCTGGGAGTTCCGGGTTCTGAGGCTCAGAACCTGACAGGCCTTTGACAGATGGGGCCTCTGGGGCGCTGGGAGGGGCGGTGACCTGCCCAAGCTGTGCCACACTGCACCCTCCCCTCCGGGGGCCGACATCTTGCCCCCCCACCACTGGACTGCCATCCCTCTGGGAACCCCACCAGTGGGAGGAGAGCCTCTGGGGGCCCCGGGGGCTCCTCCCAGCTGCCCAGAAGCTGCTCTCTGCCAATTCCTGATAATCTTCCCGGCCTCCCTCTCCCCGTTTCCCCAGCTGAAGAGGAAGCGGCTGAGACAGCTGTGGAGCTGGGACTCTCTCTCGTTGGTATGCATTAATTTGTAAATATCTTCATTTATATGTAAATGTGGAGTCCCACGCCCCACCGCCAACCCTAATGGGGCCCTGCAGCCTCCAGGAGCAGCCTCTTCCAGCGCGGCTGCTCTCCCGGGGCTGGTGTGATCTGATTAGACTCAGATAGAGAGGGTCTGCTGGTATCTTCCCTTCCGCCCGGGCCTCCTCACGGCTGCTCTCGCCTCCCGCTCTCTGCCCAAGACGCTAGCACTGGCACTGCTGTGTGACCTTGGGCAAGTCTCCTCTCCTCTCTGAGTGGAGGGGTAGCATGAGGTGGGTCAGATCTGACCAAGTTCATGTTGTTCCAGCAGGGGACCCTCGACCTCACTAAACATGGATCCTATCTGTAAAACCAGGACTGTAGAAAATAACAGTGACACGGTCTTGTGTGCACGAGGTTGTTTGAGATGCTCAGGAAACCGCACGCGCACAAACACACAAGCAGGCTTACGAGATCCGCCAGGAGGAGAGGGCTTTTTCCAGGTACCAACAGCAAACAGGCGCCGCTCAGGGACTGCAGCAGTGCCTCGGACCCTCTCCAGGTGGCATTGAACTTCTTACTGAGGCCCTTCCCTTTAGAGACCGGGAGCTCAGACACACAGTCACACCGGAGGCCACACTACAGCGAGGGGGTGGAGGAGCCAGGACTTGCCCTCAGGCCACTGGACACGAGTCTCCCTTAAATCCCACAGGTGTGCGGGCCCGATCATATTCAGCAAGCCGCCCATGAGAGGGTAAGGCCCTGTCCAAGGTCACTCGGCAGGAAGTGGCTGGGCTGGGATCTGAACCAGGTCTTCAGGTAGCAGGGTGAGCACGGGAGGGCAGGGCTCAGGGGTGGTCTCTGGGTTTCCATCCTGCTTAGGAACCGGAGCCAAGGAGTCGCCCTAGGGACCCTACCTGTGGTGGGGGTGGGGCGCTGGAAATGATGGGATAGGTTGGGACATGGGGGGCTTCTCAGAGACCCTGATCACCACACAGCGGTGGGGCGACAGCGGTGGGCCTCTGGGAAACGTGGGGTGATTTGAATGTTCACTTGCTGTGAATCACCTGTGGTTCCCAGACAGTTATTTTCTTCTCCAGAACGAGCGTTTGCCTCGGTTTCATCATGATTGTCACTGGCTGGTCTTAGGTGTGAGTCAGTATTTCAAGACGCCCCCAACCATCTTTGGAAGCAGGGGCAGGAAAAATCGTAAATATACAAGTGAAGGCATCTGTGTGGCCACATGCACGCCAGAGCCCCGCAGAGCCCCTTGGCACCCACGTTCTCACCAGGTCCCCCCAGAGAGTGGCTGGGTCTGACTCCGGGCACGAAGCCCAGCAAGGAGGGGTGACCCAGAAAGGTTCCCCAGGGAGCACACCCACCTTGCGTTCTTACAAAAGTGGGCAGGCAAGGACCACCTGCCCGACCCCCTAGGCTGGGCTGGATGTGCCCTTTGGAACCTTCTTGTCTTACTCATGGGGAAACCGAGGCCCAAAGGGCCACAGAGCAAACCCAGGGTCATCCAGCCAATTTGCAAATTCTGTCGAGCACCCGCTGTGCATCAGGCCTTGTGCTGTGAGCTTCGGGTACAAGGCGAATGGGAGCCCCTGCTGTGCCTTCCGATGCCTGTGGCGGCGGAAAGGAGAGCCAGCCCACGTGTGGAAAGCGGGAGTGTTACAGGCACCCGAGAGGTGCAGTGCCCCGCCCCGGCCCTGTCTGCTGCAGCCTCTCGCCCTGTGCTCAGGGTAGCCTGGTCACCCTCAAGTTTCTCGGCAGCCTGCGCTTTCTGCCTGGGCTCCAGGCAAAGCAGTTGGCTGTATAGTGTGGAAAAGGGCCCATGTGTACGCGCGTGTGTGTGTGTAAAGTTGTGCACGTTCAGTGCCTGTGTGAAGGCACTGAGTTAACCATGTGGTGAGGTCCCCCTCTTATGGGGCAGCAGCCATGGGTTTGGGGGTGACCAGTTCTGCTGGGGAGCGGAGGAGTCTAAAGAGGGTGTCCACAGAAGGAGCTGAGTGAGGAGTTTCCCAGGTGACCAAAGGGACACCCCTTCTTCCCTGCCCTCTCCCATGCCTGCAGCAGAGTCCCCAGCCCAGCCTTCCAAGCCTGTGGAGGGCGACTCTGAGAACCCCTAAGCACACTGTGGGACGGATGCCAATGGGCTGGAGAGGTGGCCTCCTGGTCCCCACCCCACAGCCCCTCACCTCACGGTGGACTGGTACACCAGGTCCTCTCTCTTGCGGTAGTTTTCCATATGTGAGTAGTTGGTGGAGAACATGGCGTCGAAGGTAAAGATCTTCTGCTTGATGGTGCCGCCATCCATCACCTGCAACAGAGCACAGAGGCAGGTGAGCATGCAGCCAGCGCTGGCCGCCCCTTCCCTTCCCCCGGACAGGGAGTGGGCTCCGGGGACTCCTGCCGGGGAGAGGAGGAGGCCAGAACCCCAAGGCCCCTCTGCCTCTGGAAAGGCTTTGGGGAGGAGATGTCGCAGCTGTCACTGGAGCCCCCCCAAGTCACCCTAGTTTCATTGATGTGCAAACTGAGGCTCTGAAGTGAAGCAACGTCCTGAGGACCTACAGCGAAGGAGGAGCAGAGCTGGCTACCTCTGTGTCCGTCCCCACCGCACCTGGGCTCCACGTCGGGGAGCCCCCAGGTCAGCCTCGCAGAAATGACAAGTCCAGCTTGGGGAGCTGCAGACAGAGCCACAGACTGTGAATGTGTTTTGCAGAGTCAGCCACAGGGTCCCTGCCTGAGAAGAGATGGAAGAGGGGACAGGCTGGACAGAAGGAGAAGAGGGGGCCAGGGACAGTCACCGAAGCAAAGATCTCATGTGTAGACAAATAAGCTACGTGGCAATCATTTCTGAAACGTCCCACAAGGGGTGGGCCCAGAATGGCAGGGGCTCGCAGAGCCGGCGCAGCCCCTGTCCCGGGGAGAAGGTGACTGGGGAAGGTTTTCTTGGAGCAAGGGATGTTTAAGTTATCTTCTAAAAGGAAGAGTAGGAGGCGGCTTTGCAAATGGTGGGCGTGCTTCCAGGCAGAGGGGGTGGCATGAGCAAAGGCCCTGGGGCTGGAAAGAGCGGTGCAGGTAGGCTGTTCAGGGTGTAGTGCAGTGAGAAGGCCCTGGGGAGTGAACCCCATGCCCAATCCTGGAAGCAAAGGAGCTCAGGTCCGGGAAAGGCTGCGGGGTTGCGGGGGTTCAGATTCTCCTCTGGCTTTAGTGTTGGGTGAGGACTGATTGAAGGGGAACGTCTGGAGCCAAGAAACCTGGGAGGAGGCTGAGAAGAACCCAATCCACTGACATGGGGGAGAGAGAGACCGGGACAGGGTGGGGGACTTACTCTGCTCTGGCTGCCACTGGGACCGGCAGGCCAGGAGGTCCCTGTTTCCCTTAGGAACACAGGGGAACCAGGAGGCGATAATAAAGCCTGAGCTGGAAGACAAGGCAGCTCAGGTGCCCAGCTGCTCACAGCTGATTAAAAGCTGGCCCCGAGTGTCCCGGGCTCCCAGCTGCCGGCAGCTCTCCTGCTTCCCCACCGCGGGCATCCCCGGGTCTGGGCTGCCTCCTGCTAATGAAAGTGTTACTCCACAAAGCAGCAAGGTATGTGTTGTCACTGTTTCAATTATTTATCTGTTTACTTGGCTGCAGTTTTCCGCTTGTCTCAGCAACTCTATTATAGACTGAAAGCTTGCAGCCTCTCGCCACTCAGCTGGGCTCCAGGCTAACAGCCTGCGAGGAGGCCTCATGCCTGGGCCTGGGGAAGTGGGATTAAGTCCATGCGGCTGCGCCTGTGGAGCTGGGGTGGGGAGTGGGAGAGGAGGGGGCCGGGAGGGTGGCAGCCAGAGAGGGGCTTTCTCCAAGGAGCTGGGGTAGGGGAACGCAGAGAGCCACTGTCCCCACTCCCCCAACCCCCATCCCCGCCCACCTATGCTAGGCACTGTCCTTGGAAGGCCTCGCCTGGGTGCAGCTGGGCTCCTCCGGGCACATCTGGACCCAAGGTGACGTGGACCACATCTGTCTGGCCTAGGTGGTGTTGGTACTCATTCAGGAGATGATGTGCGTTTATTGAGCACCAGTGCATTCCAGGCCCGGGCCACATCGGTGTGCATCTCCCTCCCCCACTGTAAGCTCATTGAGAATAGAGAGGCCTCTGCAGGCAGGGGACCCCCAGGGAGCCCGGGCTGGGAGGGTCAGAGTGATGATGAGTGCTCATGAGCTGTAGGATTGTAAGGGGGATCTGCAGTGGGACTTCCTGCTGCAGTTTCTCCTTACCCCTCGCTAAGCCCGCAGCACTGTCACCCTTCCTCATGCACTTCCCCTGTGGGCCCCTTCGGGGACTTGGTGCTTTTGGGCACTGTGTGTGTGTGGTGGGAAAGCAGGGTGCAGCGTGCTCTCTCAGCATGGGGGCCCAGCGTCCCAAAGAGGGGACAAAGGGAAGAGGGAGGAAAAGGGGCAAAGTACCTTTCAACCAGGGCCCTCAGCTGGGGGACATTTATTATGCAACGTGTGGAGCTGGTTTGGGTTGTCACAACAAGGAGGAAGGGTCACTGGCATCTGGCGGTAGAGGCCAAAGAGGCTATAACCATTATATGATGAACAGCCGCCCCCACGTCCCGAAATGTCGTCAGTGTCCAGGTCAAGAAATCTGCGTTAAGCCCATCACTTTGTCTGGACCCACAATGCCCCTGAAAAGTGCGGAGACAATAACTTCCCCATTTGCAGATGAAGAAGCTGAGGCTTAGAGAGGCCAAGTGATTCAGCCCAGGTCCCACCCTGGGTGCCTGGCAGAGCTCGGCCCGAGACCAGAGCTCACATCCCACTCACTGGACTCAAAGGCTGTGAATGAATCACTGCCTCTCGGCCCCTCCTCTGCTCGGGTGGTGGGGGGAGACTCCTTGACAGGCAGGCCGGACTCTGAGGCACAAAAGGAGAGGGGTGAGAAATTTTCTCCTGAAGTCCCGGTAGGGGAGGCGCCCCAGCGGGTTGACTCTCAGCCTTGCCTCCCCAAAAGGGTCTGGCTTTTTATCTCCTCCTAAAATTCAGCAGCCCTTCTAGTCCCCATCTCAGATTTCACTACAGTTTTTTTTTATTATACTGCCGGTAAAACTGTCTGCTCCAATTTATTCACCGAGACTGAGGGTTTTATTACTAGAAAAATACACCTGCACCCCGCCCTCTGTGTGCACACACACCCACGCACCCTAGATAAAGCACCAGAGTTTTTTCTGGGTCATAAATCCCCGTTTCGGGCCGAGGGGCGGGGAGTTTCAAGGGCGAGCCTAGTTTCCCTTCAGTTTTATTTACATCTGTTTCTCTGGGGCCGTGTCTGGGCTTCTGTGTCCACCCGGGAGTAAATCGCCGCTTCTGCTAAACCGGTCTTGGGGAGTGGAGACAGGCATTTTTCTCCACTCCGGCGTGACATCCACCATCCAAGTCCACTGACCCAGCTTGGAGCTCTCTCAGCCTCCGGGAAGGGAAAGAAAAGGCAGAGCCTCGGAATTCGCTCCCTGCCAGGCGGGGGTCGGCGGGCCAGTGGCTGTTTGCAGGGACGTTAACTGTGCTCTCAAGCAGCCGTTTCACCTCTCCAAGTCTCAGTCTCCACATCTGGAGCGTGGGCAGAGGGGGACCCAGCTCCTGGGGAGGACTAAACGAGATGAGAGAATCCGGCGTGTGGTCCGCGTGCCCAATAGAGACAGCTACCTACACTCTAACGCTTTTCTGAGCCACCCCCTTTTCTGCGTCCCTTTCCACCGTCCATGGCTGGGGCTGCAGGGCAGAATGTCTTTTACTGAAAAGCCAGAGGGTGCAGAATATCAGTAAATGGAAGGAGTGGGTCCGTACCTGGGGAGGGGCACAGGTGGGAAGAGCCCAAAGCCAGTGTGGGTGAGGAGGAGGATGGGAGGGTGGGGCGGGGTTCAGGGAGGAAGCAGGGAGAGCAGGGGCCCCGGCACCTGCTGGTCGTCAGCCCAGAGTGGGAGCTGGGCAGGCTGGCCCCAGGGTTCCAAGACTCACCCCCAGTGCCACAGAGGGAGGGGTGTGGCCCCTAGGTCAGGGCAGACAGAGGGGGACAAGCTGGTGGGGCAGACACAGTGCTGTTCTGGAAGGACAAGGCCCTAGGATGTATGGGTGTCCCTCCCGCTGAGGAAGATGGACTTCTGTGTTCATCAGTCAAGCGATTTTTATGGAATCAAACAGGATCTCAAATGCGGGCTGTTCTAGAACATACGCGTTATAAGGGCAGGGTCTTCATCTGTCCTGTTTGTTACTCTGTCTTCAGAGTTGGGCACATGGTACTCATTTGATAAATATACATTGAATAAGTAGATGAATGAATGAATGAACAAGTGGAGTCCTTGCCATGTGCTGGGCACGGGGGTACCACAAAGAATGGAAAAAGCACTCCTGCTCTGCAGTACAGACTTGCCCCAGACCAGCCCAATACCCCCGCTGCCCCCGCTGCCCCTGTACCCCCACCAGGCCTTCTTGGCATGAGTGGCCTGACCCCAGCAGGAAGGTGGCTGGACCATCCAGACAGCAGCGCTCTGGGAGGAACCAGCATGTGCCTGAGCCGCTCTTTGTCAGAGGTCTCAGCCTTGACCCATCCGCCATGGGAAAGTATCCTAATCATGGAAAGGGCACCCTGGACCCGAGAGACGGGGCTGTGCACAAGGTTATGCTAAAGGTCCAAGTCCTAGGCAGCGACGACCTGGGCTTGACCGTGTACCTGGGCCCTCCCTCTGTTACGTCGTCTGGATTCTCAGGACTGCAGGCTCCAGGAGCTGTGTCTCCCTGTGCCCAGCACAGCCCCCAACACGGGTAAATAAATGAACTGTCCTGGGAGATGTGTCATTGTCCCCATGTTGCAGACAACCAAGGCCAAGAGAGGCAAGGGAACTGTCCAAGGTCGCGTGAGTGGTGCCCAGCACCGCGGACTCTCTGCGTGGATTGGTTAGAAAGAGAGGAGTAGGGGACCCATTCTGAGGTTGCAGGTGTGGGCAAAGGGCAGAAGCTTTGGGGGTCACACAGCCTTTGAGTCAAGTACAGACGGCACCTAGTGTGCTGCTTGGCACATGGTGACAACCATGGTGACGGAAATGAAACAGCCAGCATTTCCGGCGTGCCCACTGTGGGCCAGACATTCTTGGCAAACAGTAACTCTTGGAATCATACGGGGAAGTGGCCGATGCACGCTAGCTGTGCAGTAGTCGCCTCGTGTTTGCAGGTGTGCCTGCTGGGGTTTCAGTTATTCGTGGTCAACCACAGCCTGAAAATATTAAAAGGAAAATTCCAGAAGTGAACAACCCCTAAGTCTTCAACTGCACAGAT